GTGAATTGGCCCTAAGAACACTTCCTCAGACAGGGACACTTAACTATTGCCCGTTAAACTCAATACTCATCCAAATCTTATGCTGCAGTTGTACCCTCAGATTTCCTGGTTCGACGTATCCTAATAACACTCTGATCAACAAAACAGATTATTCTAAACCCTTAAATTCGTTAAGTGAGCATCGTAAACAGGTTGATAATGTATGGCAATGTCGAGTGCATTACGTACACATCACTTTTGGTTGACAGCCGTTCCACATGGCCATAAAGAATCTCGGGTGCACTCCATTTGATTGGGATACATCCCTGGGTGAGTATTTAGAATACTATAAGCATATGTAATTTAAAGACACTGGAATGCAATTTCTGAAATATTTTGCATGAAGATTTATACCTTTTTTCACCAAAGATGCAAGGAGTCGCGATAAATTTAAGAGCAACACACGTGTTTCTACAAATTTCTTTTGATCCAGACCACATGCTCCTTTTTCTTTACATCTCCTGTGTTACTGCCTTGGACATGTTTGAGTTGGCATTCTTGCACTTAAAAGAACATTTATCAACTCTGGTTTTCTTATTCCCTGCGTTCACTCCTTTGGTACAGTCTACAATTTGTTTTTTGTTTCTATGGAACTTTTGAAACGCTAAGAATGGCATTTCGGTAAGGGAAACATGTTTGGCGGTAAAACAGTATAAAAGGAAGTAAGGTTCGTCAGAATAGTTCAAGTTTTGGTTTTGGTTTCAAATAGTGGCCTAGTTGACGTCATCAACTTGCATACGCCCACTTTTCGTCTTAGTTTTTTTCAAATTTTAGTCTTTCATACCAACAGCCCCAAATCGAATTTCTCGTCTATACCTTACGTTTACACGTAGAGGAAGCTAACGTCACATTTTGGTCTATGATGTATTTGATGACAGTCAAATAAAAACTCGCTGAACAAGTGATTAAAATATTTCTGAAAGTTACCCTCCTAGCATTTCCTGCGCCGTACTTGAAATCCTGATAAGAGAGCCCAAAATCAGTCAACTTGCATACACGATGCTCATCGAGAAGGATGTTGCGAGCTGCAAGATCGCGATGAATTATCTGAAATTGAAAAAAGGATGTGATGGGCTAGTATCAAAATAAATAAACAACAAACAATTCACATCAAAGGAGAAAAGGAATATAAAGAGGTATGTTTCAGACTATTTTCGTGTGTCTCAATGATTCCAATGTGCTTGATCATTTTAGTCGCATGGTGATCGATTTGCGAAATGCAAACCAAGAGGAATTTGAGCACTTACCCCTCTAGACGCGAGAAAAGTCATACCATTTGCGATCTGTTTAGCAAACAGCACCATGTCATATGTTGTCAAGTGGTCGACCCTTCCGACCCCACGATG